AGGCAAGCGTCAATCAGTTCGATCAATAATGATTGAGGTTTGAATGATAGAATAATTTCGACATTACACGCTCATGCTGACTGATCGTCAGTCAAACCTAAATTTTCGGAGAGAATGGACCTACCTATAAACTAAGTTCATTTTCGATTCACTATTTAACTTTAATTTAATATCTTGAAAAGAAAAAGAAAAAAACGAATAGGAAAAATTGTAATATTTAATATCATTTTACCCATTTTAATTTAACGCCCGCCAATGTTCGTCCTCTTGGAGCGCATAATCGATACGCGGCTTTATTTGAAACGCATTTATGGACGAAAAATAAGCTTACCTTTTATATTTATTTGTATAGGGTAATGCCAGCATAACATAGGGCTATGCCTTTTGAGTTTTTGGTATGTACTTATTGTTGGTAAGTTTTAGGGGCACTGAAATAAATTCATAACAACTTTTAATTTTAAATGGTGTATGTCACAAGCATGGAATATGCATTAAGATAAACGACAACAATTATTTTATTTTAATGTTTTACTTCTTACCTTACTGTGGTTTAGCTTTAATCAGTTCCCTTTTTCTTTTAACGCTAAACAATTAATTAAAACAAAATTATAATAAAAATTATGTGTCTTATAGTACATTGATTTCTTATAATTTAATCATCCAAGTTTTTGAATCTTTATCCTCATTTCAGCCCTTCACAAGTCCACTATAGAACATCATCCTCCATAGATTGCCTCAAGCATGGTCCTGAACCACTTTCCTTGTTATGACTTTTTCATTTATGTTCTTAACTTATAGTAAAATTAGAATTACAAAGTTGTAGTTAATTACATTTATTTTTTGTTTTTGTCTTTTTCAAAAAATAATTAAATATTGTATGGTGTTCTCAACATATACCAAATGACTGAAAAGCAAGTACGTATCATTTGCTAAATTTTTAAATCAAAAACCAATTTTAAAATATAGACGAATTGATCATAACTTCCTTAACTATAAAATAAGTCATGTTCTAATTAATGGTATTTATTTCAGTTTATGACAGCCCTGATTTATATTACGTGGCTGAAATTAGGTACTTCTTATTATGTACGTCAAACCAAATAATAGCCGGGCGGCTGACATTAAGCACTCCATACATTTCATATATCTAATTACAGCCCCATTAATTTCCACTAAAATAAAATAAAAAACTTATAAATTTAAACAAAAATAGCTGCATTACTATGTCTATTCACACTCATACTAATCAAAAAGCCTAAAGATGAGCTGATGAAAAATATGCTTAATTGTATGGGACCATAACTTGTCAAATAATTAGGAAAATTAGCGTTTTAAGTTGCGTACTTGTTTTGATTTTTAATTTAACACTGTTAGGTTTAAAACTGTGAGGTAATATTTGAAATATAATTTCCTCTAGTTAGGAAGAATTTTTAGCCGACAATATTTGTTGTTAAGACTACTAGAAATCTTATTTTTGAAGTAAAAAGGCGGAAAAGCTGTAATTAGGGGCATCCACCCTACCCGGGGTTTTTCGTGTCCCACAACTCGAGGAGAGCCTCAAAATTTAAAATTAAATCTTCTGGCTAAAGCACGTTTGGCAGGAGTGGCGACAGGCTGCGCGAGTGCGTGCGAGCCGCCTCTTCAATATATTCTGCGTCCGCCTCCATTGCTGTCTGAGCGTTGACTGACGCGTGATTGACGAAATGCCATTACACGTTCAAACAAAATTCGTTACTGATAGTTGATTGACGTAAAAATCAAAATATCCAAATATTTGTCAATCAATTTCATGCAACCGTCAATTACTACATTACACGGTAGGTTATTCGTCAATCACAACCGTGATTGTTGTAAACCTGACAGCAAAACCTACCGTGTAATGGACGTCTAAGATCTTTTCAGTCACGACCCCTTCTGACGTGTGTAGACGGCCTTGCGAGAAAGGTATATTAATAATATCCATCTCCCTCGCACTTATTATTATTTTGCCATGAAAGAAATATTATTTTATTTTAAATGACGCTTTATTTTTAGACGCTAATAATTCATTTATTTGTATTTATTAATCAATAATGTAATTAGTTTAAATATAATAATACACTACGAAAGGAACTTCGTTCCAATCGAGTTTTCCACGACACTCCACGGATGTTTTTTTTTATGTTTACTAGCAGCGGCATGCTCCTTTGAGGCAGAGAGCCGGGATGCCAATTTGGATCTGATTATCTTTAGCTTTGAAGATCCACGATGAAACGGCCTTTTATATTTTCGCTTCATCATCGCCACCAATAATTACTATCGTCCACGAAACATCATTAACAAAATATCGCTAACAAGATATTGTCACCACGAAATCTAATGCGATAACAAACTAAAGTACGTCTCTTCTATGGCTGATTGAAATATTAACCATTAACTCGTGTTTACGAATACTCGTTTTAAGATTATCAACTTTACACAAATAGTTGTTTATTGAATGTGTTACAAACATAACACTAGAAGTACAGGGAAATCCCCCACATGCTGGCGAAGTACATAGGGTTGCAATAATTAAATCTATTTTTAATACTCGAATACTGCCAGGTTTTATAAAACGTCAACCAATCATGTCAGAGGCCAAAATAAGAGGCCAATCCTGCCAAAATGGCAGGAACCTGCCACATATGGTCACACTGATACTGGCTTAAGGCTGGCTTTTCAGTATGGGATATTGGCATATACCTAAATACTCTGTGATACTGGCTTTCACTTTTAATAACTGGCTTTTGGCTCTGGGTTCTAGCCCTTCTGAGTATGATACTGATAATTATCTTCCATAGTACACTGCTTCACAATATGTTGATGCGTCACATTGTGTAAACCCCCCCCCCCTCACCTCAGCCTATGAATTTGGAGTATATACATAAAAATACTGACAGACGTATCTTAAATAGCACATCTCAAAAATATTAGTTATTTAAACTGCACCCATGTAGTTTAGAAATAAAAAATAGAAATAAAAAATAAAAGGATCGTTCACCTTATTACGTCGATATTACCTCAAATAATTAGAATTGAGTACTTTTTGATGATGTTGTTCTATACCCCGATGTTTTTGAAAGACGTATCCAACGATACCCCACATGATGAAATAGAAGTTGCCCCAATTGCGCTACACACGCGGCAACAGCAGCTATGATCTAAGGAGCAAGGAAGGTCTTGCGCCGCTGCCATCCTGCCGCAGGGCCGACTTAGGATATTGCCCCAGCTTGCATACACGAATCACAATTACTCCTGCGTCAGGCATGTAACTAGCAGTTGCAGCACAAACCGGTTTGTACCCAGACGGCGCGCCTGTGGTACCTGTCGGTGAGAGCTCATGCACACATCGCTGAGCTATGTATACCCATCCATAGCGCAGCGATGTATGCTTGTACTATTTTACTTTTATTTGGTTAATGTTCAGCTTAAACTTACAAAAACCAATAATACTTCAACCCTATATTTATTGTTTAAGATCCGTATAATAAATATATTTCTTCATTTTTTTGAACTTTCGTAACTTTAACACTTCACTACACAAGTTTCTATGGAAGACCTACGTTAATATAAATTATTGCTTAAAAACCATTTGAAAACGTTTCGCCGTTTCACGAGTTTGAGACAAAACACGTTTCACTTTTAATTTTGGTATTCTTTTCAGCAAACCCTTTTATTTGATACCCGTATCATGGGAATGCATAAAAAATAACTAGTCCTCAATCTTTGGGAGTCCGCCATATTGAATTTAGAATGACGTCACTTGTCTTACCATGTATTGTCTTCATCGAAAACCGAGAAGTTGGTCTAATTTAACTTCCAATTTTTTTTTTACCTAATTACAAATAAATATTATATGCGAATAAGAAATGACTATTACTAAGATTAATGAACGCTGATATTTTGTCTATAATGAATTTTTCAAAAAAGGTATTTTGAAACAGAACTGAAATAGCATTATAATATTTATTAAAAAGAACAATTAGGGAGATGCCGTCAGGCTCACACGAGTTGCGGATGTCCAGAGAGAGGAGTGCTTTGCGAACCGAGCGCTGTGTGAACCGCACATCCGGCATGGAGCACTCAGACCGCGGGATGGACCTGGAAGCGAAATTATACTTCTTTTCAAGGGCGCTGGTGTTTACATCCCGGGACGTCGATGCGTCAGCCCGGTTGCACTCCTGCTTGTAGTGGGATGCTATTTTATAGGAGCTACTAAACCATGGTTGAGATCTGCATCCGATGAGCATCACCGAGGAAGGAATAAAAAGTTCCATACTCTGAAGTACCACATCAGCAACAGAATTAGCAACAACGTTGGGATCGTTCGGCGATAAGCAAACCCGCCCCCAAGGATAGGATGCAAAGAAAGACCGCATCCCATCCCAATCGGCCGACCTATAGTTCCAAACACGGCGGCAGCCTGCAGAAAGCAACCGCGATTTCAGCGTGAGTGGCACCACACTTCGGACTAGACAATGGTCCGAGGAGCCAAGAGGTGCGTCGATGAAGACCTGACATCTGTCCGGTTGAGAGGTCAGCAGAAGACCCAACAGGGAATTTGCATGATCCTCCACATCTGAAATCCGCGTAGGCGTAAAATGTTACTATAACTGACTACAATTTCAATGAAAAATGTTACAAACTTATATGATCTTCAAAGAACTTGAACAAGGTTGTCGGGCACAGTAAACACAGAATTAATATTTCAAAATTTTATTAGTCTACATGATTTTAACAACTAAGAAAATCATTATTTTATAACACATTAGACGAGTAATGCTGATCAATATTTTTAATCAAAAAAGGTTTGAACTTAAGTTATAATGATTATGCTTATTTACATACACTTTAACCAAAGAAAAATTTATAAAAAAAATACAACGATAGAAAATGCTATGCGAATACTCATCTAATGTTTTACTTCAAATAAAACCCAAGAAACAATTGTTGTTTCTCGCTAAATGATCTAAGTCATAAAATTATTCGGTCATCCAGTAGAAGCGCGAGCCAAATCGTGCGGGTTTTCTCTCGGCGTCGTCCGGAAGACCTGGAGTTGCATCAGGATATACGGCCTTCGGTTCGGGTGGAGGTTTTGGCCTGTAAAATCACAAGATGCTATAAACTATAAAAAATATATTTTGTAGACAGGCGCCATATATACTCTCTCGACCTTAACGACCTTTAAGCACAGCGATAGCTGCCGGATTCTACCGAAAATGGTTAAATGCGCTGGACTTGGACTTTTTTGACATAGGCGCTAACAGATATTAACTTAATGTCTCTTTTAAGATATTTAAACCAAAGTTCAATTCGAGATCAGTATCTATATTCCCACGCCACAAAATGAATCGATTTACGCTGGATGAATGTTGGGAAATATTGAATAACAAAATAACTACTGTGTAGCCGAAATAGTGCATATTGTGAAATGAAGTTTTGGCCGAAATAAGATGCTCACCACGCCTGCCGTATGCAAATTTCTGCAAATACAAAGAGATCATGAGACGGGCATGGTAGTGGACAATACTTACGTTTGCCTTGGTCGTACTGTGCTCACAGACAAAAATGTCGTTGCTGTAGTCGAATGTGTGCTACTCAATTCCAGAACATAAATTTGCCATCGATCGCAATAACCTTTTTATCTATAATGAGCCAGTGCTTGTCTACTATCCCACCTGGTAAGTGGTGAGATGCAGCAAAGCGCACTCATTTAACCAAGACCTATTCGCTTGTCTTGGAGATATCCACATTGTAATCGGATGGAAGGACTGGTACTGGCAAATTCTTCCAATCCTTTGCTGTACGCGTGACGAGTGACGAAGAAAACCGTTTGGTTCGAATGAGTGGTATGTCGACAACAAGGTCCAGCTGAATGGGATTGATTTAGCTGGACCTTTTCATGTCTCGCACAGTCCACAACTTCTGATTATGATCAGATAATAATGACATTGTCACATATAAGACATAAGCTATGTACTTTCTTAAAAGCTAAGAAATTTTAGTGGAAAAAAAAAGCAAAATTAAATAAATTTATATACCTCTTCGTATCATGAACCCGCGGTTCACAGAAGTAGCCAAACGGAGGACGTTCCAAATTTAAATTTTCTAGCATACACTTGTCAAATACCCCCTGCGTTTTACGGCAACTGCAAAATGAAAGTATTCATAAATCTATAAATGGTAAAATACCGCTTTAGCATTAAAATTATAGATATCACAGATAGAAAAGTGTGGAGAGAAAAGTTTGCGGGGGAAAAGTGTGGGTCTGTATTCCTGATGAATAATTTTGAGTTAATTGTCCACGCTCTCACAGAATACCAACGTAAAATAGCAGCTTAACACTGCTGTGTTTCGTATGGTGAGTGTAGGGAACCGGAGACCCTTTTTACTGGAAAATAGGCATTCCATCTTAGCCCTCACGGGTGACAACGCATCTGCATTTTGATTCGCAAACGAAGATAAATGTAGATGTCTATGGGCCACAGCAACCACTTACCACCAGGTAGACTGTGAGCACGTTTGTCACCATATCCTATAAAAACTCTTGGGTGCTATCAATACAGCCTATCAATAGTCCACTGCTGAACATATGCGATTGATTGCCTCATAGAGGGGATAGTTGCCACGCTTGGCAAGAGTGTTGGCAAGTTCGCAACCGCAATTTTTCAGTTGATATTATGTTGCCCATCCCCTGCTTTGGTTCCCTGTGTCACTCACCATACTATTACCTAAGTATTATTATAGTACACCTAATATGCAAAAGCAATTGTTAAGACCGATGTTTCTTTTTTACTTTGTTACAAAATAAAACAACCCATATTTATAGGAATCACATTTCCTAATGAACTGCCTACTTCAGGAATCTGAGGAATTTCAGGGATTCCTTCTTGATTCTCTACCAAAGTACAAATATACACTAACAATATTTGCTATAACCGTTGTTCTATTTTCTTTTGTTACGAGTAAAATAAAACTCAGACATGGCCTTCCTCTAAACAAGAATAGAAAAAAAGATTGGATTAGAGCTGCATTTCAATGCCAAACCACAGCATCATGGTGCCACATGAGTAAAGAAACCGACCAGAGGGGAAGCTATATACAAACGGCTCGCTGCAAATACACCCAAACATAGCGCAGCAATGTGTGCGTGATCTCTCATCGACAGGTTCACCGACACTCCGTCGGGGTACAAACCGGTTTGCGCCGGCTCAGTAAGAATATCCATGAAAGGGCTTCGTGCGCATTTAAATAAATAGACCAACAATATTTCGAAATTTTATACGTCAATTAATTTATTTAGTTTTTTTTGCAATTATTAAATAACTAGATTTAAGTATTTTAATTTAAATAATTAAGAATTAAGTTATTATAAATTTATATAGGTAAATACGAGGGTGGATTGAAAAGTACTCGGCCTAACCAAGAAATAAACAAATACTAAATCAGTTATATTTTTATTTTTCTACATAATCACCATCAAGTTCAATACAATTTTGCCACCTCCCCTTCCAAGCATTTAGACCGTTGAAAAAAAATGATTCTTCCTTAGAGTCAAAATATGCGTCTACAGCTGCTTTGACCTCGTCGTTTGTCGAAAATCTTTGACCTCCCAAGTGCTTTTTTAGGTTAGGGAACAGAAAGAAGTCTGATGGTGCCAGATCAGGTGAATACGGCGGATGCGGTAACAGTTCAAAGCCACAGTTGTGAATTTCAGCCATTGATTGTACTGACGTGTGAACACGGGCGTTATATTGATGAAACAGGACTTTTCTTCTGAGCATTCCTCGACGTTTTTCTTTTATTTCCTCTCGTAAACGACGTAGTAAGGTGCAGTAGTAATCAGAGTTTATATTCTGACCCCTTTCAAGATAATCAATCATAATCACACCTTTCGAGTCCCAGAATACTGAAGCCATCACCTTATTTGCCGACAAAATCAACTTAGCCTTTTTAGGGGGTGGTGAACCAGGTCTTCTCCACTGTTTTGATTGTTGTTTTGTTTCCGGTGTACAGTAATGAACCCATGTTTCGTCCATAGTAACAAAACGATTCAAAAAATCATCTGCATCGGCTTCAAATAACTCCAAACAGTCGCGTGAAATAGTCAATCGCGTCCTTTTTTGTTCAACTGAATGCAGTCGCGGAACCCACCTCGCAGACACCTTGTGGAAACCCAACTCGTTGACAATGATGTTTTGAGTTCGTTCATAAGAGATGCCTATAATCTCGGCTATCTCTCTAATTTTTAATCTGCGGTCTCCCATTATTAAATCAAGTACTTTTTTAATATTTTCGTCAGTAGTTGACGTCGAAGGCCTTCCAGAGCGGGGTTCATCTTTCACACTCTCTCTACCACGCTTAAATTCTGCTATCCATTTTTTGACGGATGAATATGACAGAGCACAATCGCCTAATGTACTGACCATGTCATCATGGATGGCTTTTGATGATAGCCCCTTCTTATGGAGGTACTTAATGACGGCACGCTGCTCGATTTGCTTCATTCGCGGAAATTATGTCCGATTACTTTGTTAATAAATTTATAAAATCACAACTAATTATCGCACACGTTTCGAACTTCACACAATGAACTAGTCTGAACTGAACTAAATAATGTGGGTAGATTTGATTTTTAGAATTGAATGGATCTGTGTTAGGCCGAGTACTTTTCAATCCACCCTCGTAACAAGTGTTCTGTATAAGAAAAAATGCCTAATAGTTGTACAGTATGCATGAATAATTCTAGAGAAAATAAGGATATTTCCTTTTTTTGTACCCGAGAGATCAAGTTAAGTACCTTTTTACGTATTATATACACAATATTTTATTTTTTCCATATTGTTTAAAATTAATCGATCCGAAACAGCTCTTGATTTCGAACAATTAATAGATATGTTGTTACATTAATATACATGTTGTCTTATGCTATACAATATATTATTTCCTTCAATTTTTCTGGTCCTTACTCTTTACTCTGTGATGGTGCCATCTACTTATGAGTTTCTTGCTGCTTCTTCTTACAAGGGACTTGCAGAACCGATGGTGTAGCTTTTGACTTTCAATAAGTAAAATTCCATCTTAGTCCTCACGGTTGACAACGTATCTGCATTTTGATTCGTAATAGAGGATAGATGTAGATGTCTATGTGCCACAGCAACCACATACCATCAGGTGGACTGTGTGCTCTTTTGTCACCCTTATCCTATCAAAATAAATTAAAAGTTATAACTGGGTAATGTTAGTAAAAGTGAGCCAGTGCAACCGAATAGCATATATTCCCCTGAGTTATTGTATGGGGAGGCATATGATCAGCAGTAGACTTTTGATAGTCTATAATGAATGAATGAATTAATTAAACTTTTGTAAACAGAGTTAGCAAACACCTTAGTCTTAAAATAACTTTAGATTCCTAAATATCTTTTGATAGATTTACTAAAAAATTTAATATTTGATTAATCCATTTAGTGTTGAAGTGTTAGTAAAATTACATTCTTTAATAAATATAAAAAACATACTGTTGAAGGCTAAAATCTCCTGAGCTTTTATCAATGCAGTTTGCGTATTGGTTGAACTCAGCCACACAAGCCTTTTTCACTTTGCGGAAAAAATCCATTGTACAGGCAGTAACAGCCTTACCCTCATTGATACATTTTCGAGGGTCATCCTCCTCAAAGCGGCAGAGCATAAATTCCTGAAAAATAATCCTAATGATACAATTTCTCCTTATATATTTTATAAATTATAGCGTTTCATACAATATATATTTTAGTACAAGTGAAAGATTAGGGAGTCCAGAAAAAAATTATTATCTTACACTTAAAACATAACCTACTTTTATCAATGGTTATGCAATCATAATTTGATTTTATATGAAAAATCTTCTGCTACTTTGACTTGGTACAAATGTACAAATAAAAAATTTGATTAAAATTATAAAGATACTAACATTATTTGCTTGTTCACAATATTTTCCCAAATGGAAAGACCCCGCTCTCAAAGAAGCTGTTGACAAATTGACCTCCTCTACAGTTAACTCCGACTCTTCTGGTAGGACAACGTCAGCAGTTACGACCATTTTTTTATTTGAAAGTTTATTCAATTAATAGAAGTATTGATTATATAAATAAAATCTAGTTTCTCTTCCACTAAAACATTGGAAGAAAATTCTTATGATAACACTACTAAATTTCTGGGTCCAATGAAATAAAACGTAGTATAGATTACTACAATGTAAAATAGTATGTAAAAAAGAGACAGCAATATATTTATTGACCTACTCTCTGTTTGCCTTAAACTTTTAGCATTATATTTGACTAACTTTACTGACTTTGCTTGACATTGACAGATGAAAGCTGTAAACATTATTTTCCCTTTTTCATTTTATGCAGAATCATGCGTATTCTTTAATATTATTACGTGAAGTAAAACTTTGTACCCTTAGAGTATTTATTTATAAGCAAGCTATTTCCGATTTATAAAAAGTACTCTGTACTCTGTACAAGCTATAGAACGCGTGTAAGCAATTCAGAACTGTAAACACTGCGCTAGCACTTCTTACTAGTTTGTGGTAAACACGCATTAGAACAGTCTCATAACGGGCAGGACTACGTTATTAGTCACGAAAATTTAATTGTTTTAATTATTTCTCTCGGCGATATTTAATAGAATTTTTAGTTATCATGGTAAAAGGTACAGTGCCAAGCTGCAAAACGATTCACGGAAGCAAAATATGAAGAACTGTGATATTTCTTTTCATCGGTATTACATATATTATTTCAATAGGAAAGCACTGATTCTAACAAAATTACTTAGGGCGTCAAAGCGTGTAACGGAAGCCACGCAGCGGGGCCTACACAGCACGTACCCCACGTCTCCCACTTCGGATTATCCCCGAAGTAGAGCTAGTGCTGTAATAATTATAATATAATTATAGTATTAGAAGTAAAGATCCTTTGTATTCGTAACCCATATGGATCATAAAATAAAACATTTAATAGCTTTGTATACAACATGTAACAAAAACCCTGTGGTTCCCTTTAAGTGCGTCATCAGAGTCATTCAACGTAAAGAAATAACTTTTTTTCAAAAAACTTGAATATTAAAAATTTAATTTAAATTAAAAAAAATAATTTGAAAATTGTATGTGATTTTATTACTTCTAACTCACACGAGCATTGGTGAAGGGCGGTCTTTCACAATCCTCGTACTCTCCGGATAATGCAGAGGTAATAAAACCACATACAATTCGCACATTTAAAAAAATGAATATATATATTTTTTAATGTCAAATTTTTTGAAAAAAAGTTATTTCTATACGTTTGAATATTGACTCTGATAACGCACTTAACACAACCAGAATCACAGGGTTTTTGTTACATGTTATATGAATATAACAGAGTTTAATGCGATTACATACTTATCTAATTTCAGTTTTCCGAAAAGTCTATGAATTAACAAATAAGTGGGTGATAGCGATAAAAGGACCCAACTGGGAGCCCATCATTAGGACTTCTGTATGTTCCTTGCTATGATATGAGAGATTCGCAGGTTATAGTTGATTGTGGAACTGATATGGCGTTAGCTGAGACTCTTCTATGTGAGCCATCAAAACAAGTGATTTCCTACATAGCTGGCTATGTAGTCAGATTTATGCTACAGACACTTGCTTGTGAGAAATGTCAAGGTACACTCGTATCAGAAGAAAGAAATCATTTTCATAAATTTATTATAATGAAAGATGGATGTGGTCTTATATATCCATCAAAAAACGTAATAGACATTTGTATAAGAGCGGAAACAATACAAAAAAACATATCTTTCAAAAATAATGGCAATATTCTGACTCTTAGTTTAGATACTGAGACTTGTAATTGTTCATAGGAAAAGATATTTTTACGTGTCTTCATGAACACCTATTCCATCAATCGCCATTCGCCATGCAGCAACGATTTGGTTTATTTATTGCGTGCTGTTATTAAAAATATATTGATATTACGATAAAATATCTTGACCGCAAAACTGCGATAAAGCTAATAAAAAGACAGCTATGTAATAAATTGAACCTTTCTAAGTTTTTTCAATAAGTTTATTTAATAATCGTCGTTTAATACCTGTTTTTTATTGACTTCCTTTCATATATTCATTTCTTACTCAATATTTACTAAATACTTACCTATTTAACTAGTTAAAATTATAAATTTAGTTATTAATATATTATATATAAGTTATTAATTAGTTAGGTGTGAGATTCCGCAACATTCCGCAAAATTCCGCTTAACACAATAACGGCCTACGCGTCAGCGACGACCATCCGCGCGTCTACGGGTGCCTCTACAGATCCTATAGCGGTAATACCGAAACAGGCCCACTCTTCCCCCACGTCCAAATGGCTACAGATTTCTTGCTACGGCAGATTCCATCCGCAGAAATCGTGATGCTCGGCGATTTTAACGCTCACCACGCCGAATGACTTGGCTCACGTTTGACCGATCATGCGGGGAGATTATTCTCTCATTCTGCAGGCTGCCGCCGTGTTTGGCACTATAGGTCGGCCGATTGGGATGGGATGCGGTTTTTCTTTGCATCCTACCCTTGGGGGCAGATTCGCTTCTCGCCGGACGATCCCAACTTTATTGCTAATTCTGTTACTGATGTGATGATGTTCTTCAGGGTATGGAACTTTTTAATACTTTAATACTTCCTCTGTGGTGCCCATCGGAGGCATATCTCAGCCATGGTTTAGTCGCTCCTGTAAAATAGTATCACACTACAAGCAGGAGTGCTACCGGGCTGACGCATCAACGGCTCGGAATGTAAGTACCAGCGCCCTTAAAAAGAAGTATAATTCCGCCTTCAGGTCCTTCAAAAGAGTCATTGCCAAGGCAAAGTCATAGCACATAGGCAAAATTGGCGATAGACTAGTTCGCCTTCCTTCGGGAACACGTGCATTCTGGTCTCAAAAGGCTGTCCAAGGGAACTTCTGTCAGCCATCTCTTCCATCTCTGCACAGGGAGGATGAGTCCTTGGCCCATGCCGCAAAGGAGAAAGCTGATCTGCTAGGCTCTTCCTTTGCGTCCAACTCGACTCTCGATGATGGGGGAACACACCGCCGACGATCCCGCGCTGTAAGTGCTCCATGCCGGATGTGCGGTTCTCACAGCGCTCGGTTCGCAAAGCACTCCTCCTCCTGGACATCCACAAGTCGAGTGGGCCTGACGGAATCCCCTAATTGTGCTGAGGACGTGAGATCCGAAGTTGGCACCAGTTCTAACGCGTCTTTTCCGGTACTCCTACTCCCTAGGCGTAGTCCCGAAATCATGGAAGACGGCTTTCGTTTACCCGATCCCGAAAAAAGACAACCGCTCAGACCCATCTAACTACAGGCCTATCGCCATCACCTCCTTGTTCTCCAACATAATGGAATCCATTATAAGCTGCCAGCTTATGCGGTACCTTGAGGATCACCAGCTGATTAGTGACCGCAAATACGATTTTCATCGGGGTCGATCAGCTGGTGATCTCTTGGTCTACCTGACTCATAAATGGGCGGAGGCACAAGTTAGAATGGCTCTTCAGCACGTTAAATACGGCATCCCTGGTTGAAGATGAAATTACAGCAGAGCTTCTGAAAGTCGGTGGAAAACCGATACTTGAAGTCTTTCAGAAGCTCTTTAATTCCGTCTTCCACAGTGGCACTAATCCAGAGGCGTGGAGCAGAAGTGCGGTGGTTTTGTTCTTTAAGAAAGACGACAACGCTCTCTTGTAGAACTACAGACCACAAACATACCTTTCAGTAAATTGTACAGAAGACCGAGGAGTACAATTTGCCACTGTCTTGCGTATGTGATCTATGAAAAAGCCTTTGATACCATCGAAATTTGGGCGGTGCTGCAGTCCTTTCAGCGGCACCAAATTTACTGCCGGTATATCGAAGTGCTGAAGTGTTGGTACAGTAGGGCTACGAGGGCTATCCGAGAAAAGAACCAAAATTCGAAACCTATCCAACTGCAGAGAGGTGTAAGACAGTGTGACGTTATATCCCCGAAACTTTTCACCGCTGTATTGGAAGACGTTTGCAAGCTACTGGGCTAGAAAAGATATGGTATTAACCACCATCTCAGACACATATAGTCCTCATGGCAGAATCGCTGGAGGACCCAAGCATTATGCTCAATGACCTCAAAAATGCCTCCCAACGCATAGGTCTTAAGATAAACATGGACAAAACTAAGATCACAACGGATTAGTAAGCTGAAGAGGTAATGGACCACACAGATGGAAGAACCGACAACCGATAGGGAAAAAAGGTTCTCGAGTGGCAGCCTCGTATCCCTAGGCGAAGTGTAGGGCGACCCCACATATTACAAAAATAAAAGAGTGAACACTGTTGCGAAAGCTTTTATTTAATGACTAGTTAATCTTTTATATTACAAAATAAATGCTTGCTTGCGAAAGGTCTTAATTATTGTAGAATCAATCATCTTTAATAATTTATCACTTAATATTTCTTTATGTTATTTCATGTTTTCCAAATGCTTATTAAATGCAGTTTCTATCGGTTCTTCGCTATATTTAGTTTGATCATCACCTGAAAGATAATAATTACGGTATTAAAAAAATTATATTCTAAATAATTACATTTAACGATAGCTAGATAGCTTTAACTAGTATCTGAGATATTGAAATAATAATAAATGAAATACTGATTCCGACCATAAATTAATAAATTCTACTCTGCTGTCTAATTTCGACCACAAAGAATTTTCCAGAATTTTTTTTACAGGATAGGGTGACAAACGAGAACACAGTCCACCTGATGGTAAGTGGTTGCTGTGACATATAGACATCTACATCCATCCTCCTTAAAGAATAAAAATGCAGATGCGTTGTCACTCGTGAGGACTAAGATAGAATGCCTCTTTTCCAGTAAAAAGGGTCTCCTGTTCTCTACACTCACTATACGAACGAAATACAGTAGTGTTAAACTGCTATTTTACGTTGGTATTCTGTGAGAGCGTGGTCCTTCCCCGGTCGAGCCGACCCATTCGTGCTGCAACTATACTACTAATATAGCTGCAGCATGGCTCTACCACGTCAAATGATAGAAGTTATCCACCAGGCGGGTCATGTTCAATTACTCTAACCTACCTTCTTGTTTAGTCTCAAACCAACAAAAAAGATACACAGAGCGCTGTGTACATTAATAGTAACGCTGAAATCAAGCCAAAACCATGCTCAACTTATTGTTAGAACTTAGAACACGCACGCATTTTCACATATGCATCTAAAATAATTAGTAACCAGCATTTAACGGACCGCTAAAAAAAGTGAGTCCATATCAAGAAGTTGAGTGTAGTTTTGGCGTCACATGAAACGTACCTACGTTGTTTTGTCTAGCTTTATTGGTCTGAGTGACCATTGTAACGATTATGTCAGAAGTAGGTATCTCATAGTGCAGTGTTAAATTCACGAGGAAATCCAAATATATGTGTATAATATGTCGTCTAAAAATTGGTTATCGCCAGTGGGACTCAGCTGAACTTATTTGACATACCGTCATAATTACCGTTATCAGTTTCTAGTATATACATAAAACAAATCCTTAATGGTGTGCTTTTCAATTTTTTACTCTTTTTAAACCCTGTTTTAATTATTCTACTTTTTGGGAATATGCGTAGCTTAGTTTATCTATTTTTAATCTAATCAATAGAAAATATAACTAGTATTTCAATAAGAATCATTAATCTTTTACATTTTTCTAACAATTTTACTACCCTGCCATGAGATCTGCAAATATTTCACCACATTCTAAAGTGGCGCCACTCTGGTGACAGAAAAATTGTGCAAATCCTCATTGCGTGAAGTGAGGTACCAAGGTTTTCTTACCTATAGCTTACATAGCATACTACAAATAGTTTTTTATGAAATGAAAAAAAAAAACGGTTTATTCGTTTTTTGATACAATAGCTTTTTGGAAAAGCCGTTCGTTGATTCTATGCCCATTACTAAATAACAAAAAATGATCTCTAATTCTGGTTATTTATAGGTTAACCAAATTAAAAATGCCCAGCACTAGGAGTTTAAACTTCAAACACTTATGAAGGGTGGTCATTATGGACAATACCTCAGCTCCATTGGAAAGATGCTTAGGCAGTAAACGGAGTAGCTGATATACAGATGTATGGATTAAATTAAAGAAGTAAAAATATTACACGTGACTTCTTAATTTGGTCCAGAAGTAAAGTAAAATTAAAAATACTTCGTTTGGTCAGTAAAATTAAGTTCAGCTTCCCGCACGATACAATTTTCAAATGATGATCAATACATTCATTTCAAAATTTGTATCTCATATTACTTTTATCGGTCTTATGTCACTGGATGCAGGTGACTCAGGACTATGCATTCTAGCATTCCTTGAGGGGAGGTCTATGTTTAGCAGGAGACTTCCAGCCTTACAGCCCTTCACAGGGCTGTATCGAACAAAAGATTTACTTTTATCAAACGAAAAAGATAAATATTAACTTCGTTTTTAGTTTCCTTAGCTTTTTTATTTAGTTCAATTTGTTTAAAATCACTGCAACAGCATCAGCGTAATGACATCGTTAATAGAAAAAGTTAGTTTTAAAAGTGTATGAATCTTATAAAATGTTATGTAAAAGTTACAATTTCTAAAGGTTCAATCAATTTCTTACCTTCATACAATTCAAAGTTTTCAGACGGCAATTGATAGAATTTTGGGATATCATATCTGTTTGCCTGTAAACAAAGTAAGTAACTTTAGATATTCATATTTACAAATGATTAAGTAATTCCTTAATAATTTAGGCAATATTTCGCAGTATTCTTTTATGTTTCTAAGAGTAGTATTATCACTTATCTTCTGAAGGAAATGGTTATGACCGTTTACGGTTTTAAAGCGGGCCAGTTGTTTTTTTACATTTGACAATAGCTTGGTTAACTGGTTAACTGCTTTAAAACCATAATTCTGTGAGAAAGTCTAAATTTATTATTTCTCAATAATAAAATAACATGCATAGAATTTTATAGTTACCTGGTCTGGTCACAAACGGAGAGAATATTTGATTTGTACTTCATACCAATAGGTACTTGTTCCGAGCAGAAATCGAAATTGGCTCAGTATCGCAGTCAAATGCTACTGCGCTACCGAGCCGTTATTTCCATTTAGTATATATTTTAATATTTAAAAAAATATAGATACCTTTACTAAATAAACAAATATTGATAATAAGTAAACAAAAACCTATCGTACCGAATCGTAGTTCCTTCGGCCCATGCGTGGGATGTTTTTACTTGGGATTGTTTTGATAACGTAACCCATAACACTTTGGTCAAATAATCCTTCTGCCTCGTTACTTCTCCCAACTCTAGGTACATTGTTTGGTTTTATAAATGAACTTTCAACTACGACATAAAATAAAAAGATAAAAGCAAACACAACTGAATATTTGGCGAACATTGTTTAAGTTTTGAACGAAATAGATAGAACAAGTAACTTATTCAACGACTTGTGAAGAATTGTGAGCACATTCAAATTTTAACTTCTTTTATACCAAACAGTTTCGATTAATCCCCTATTTTAAAAAGATAATATCGATACCCGTATCTCGTGATTAGAATACATAATCACTAGATTACTATCACAAATTTTGTCGATGAGCTTTAATTAAACTTAAATAAACACATGAAACTGAAAAAATAGGTACCTACTTAAATTTTTACATTATTGTTTCCCAAAGCCGAAAAGTGTAGGGAAAAGAATAATGTTACTATTTCTAAATTGATATTCTACGAATAACACAACTTCCGTCCTGATGTTTGCTTTTCACAAAGTACTCCGCATTAGCACAGAATAAATAATAGTATAAGAAGCAATAGTAACGAAATACAAGGGAAAAGATTGTATAAATCTTCATAATATGATATTGATAACTTCACCTAACACGCGAAAATTATTACTTGAATGGTAAATATATCAATAGGGTCCTGTACTTTTCTGCAAGCATAGAAAAATTTATCCCTAAAAATGAACAAATCATTATGTTCAAAGATTCACGTCCTATAAGTACGCACCATCAAATCTATTTAGACGTTTAAGATTATTAACGGCAAAATAATCAAAGATGATGTAAATAATACCACCTTCTGATCTAAACTAGCTTTCTATGTTGGTAAAATGGTTTGCCAAGTCTGTTAGTTCTCAGTCGTAACTCCATAATTAAAAGAAGAACCTGATACTAGGTTAGGAGAGTCTCTTAAAGTTCCATTTTTAGGTCCCATTATTTTGAGTTTGTATACCGTTGACATGCTTAAAACACTGTCACACTGTGTATATATCTTGTATTAGCGATTAGCCACGGCTCTGCACGGATGATTTCTGATCTTGACAAGAGGGGCACCTACCGGGTCCAAGTGTGAATATAAAGCATCTAGGCACATATTCGAACACACATATTTTTTTAAATCAAAATTGGTCGAACCGTTTATGAGTTTTAGCGAGACTAACGGACAGCAATTGATTTTTATATATAGAGATAAAGACATATATTTTAAACCATAAAGAACAGAAGCTGCAGTAAATAAATTTAATAAAGACTTGAACCCGTATTATATGTAGTTTGGAGTGAGTGAAATCTTCTATACATATAATAAATCTGTAGAAAAGTCGTGTCTGTAATTCTAATATATTCTTGAAAAAACAAGTCCAGGGGACTAAATAAAGCGTTCTGAAGTCAAATTAGTGATTTTTAGAATGTCTGTCTGTCTGTCTGTCTGTCTGTGTATTCCGGATTGACGCAAAAACTACTGAACCGATTTACATGAAATTTTGTATGTAGGTAGTGAGTAACCCGGGGCAACTTATAGGCTACTTTTTATCCGATTACGGAACTTCAAAAAGGAAGGTTAAGTATTTTATTTCCTTTAGATGTTAATTTTCTATTATATCTTAGTTATAGGCGGGATGGCGGGTGTTTTTCAAATAAATACTATATTTGTAAATAAAGTTTAAAATATAGTTATAATCTTTGTAAATTAATTTGAAACTAAACCGATTTGGTATTCAAAACAGCGCCATCTATCATCAAATGGAAAAAGTAGTATATTTTGCCTTCAGTTACTAATAAATGAAATTATATAAATAACTTACATTTATATGATTGAATTATTAGATTTTTAAAATTATTAAAAAACTCGAACGTTTAGTTTTTTGGTATTTTTGTTATTTTATTTTGAAAGTGTAATAATTTCAATAGATAATAGTGACGTCTATCATAAATATAAAAATTGATAAGGTATTTATTTGAATTACTAATATACTTATATGTAAAGTGATTAAAACTGGTCTGTCTGCATTTTTTTATAGGATAAGGGTGACAAACGAGCACACAGTCCACCTGATGGTAAGTGGTTGCTGCGGCCCATAGACATCTACATCTATCCTCTATTACAAATCAAAATGTAGATGCGTTGTCACCCGTGAGGACTAAGATGGAATGCCTCATTTCCAGTAAAAAGGGCCTCCGGGCACCTGCACTCACCAAGCGAAACGCAGAGGTAAACCTCTACTTCACGCTGGTTTTCTGTGAGGTCGTGGTACCACCCCGGTTCGAGCCTGCCCATCCGTGCGACAGCAAAAGCTGCCACGTGGCACCGGTTCAGGTGACCACTGTTGAAATTTGCAATTGTTGCAAAATTTTCATTATCATTATAGTTTTATTCAAGAGATTTTTATGGATGTCGTGGCCAGATCGTAGAATTGATCATATATCATAAAGTAGTCTATCGTTTCGTGAAATGGTGCGGTCATTTCATGATATTTAACACTATTTGTTGACCATGTCATGGTCATGATATAGCTTGACCAAATCAATGAATAGAAATCGTTTGAAGATAGTTATAACTAAACACAACGTTGCTATTTTATAATATTCATCAAGGTCATAGGACGATATCATTAAATCGTTTTTCACCACTAGGGGCGCTGATAGCGTATTTTTTAACAGAAACAGAACTTTTAAGAGAATTGACTTCACTTTATCCCTTATTGATATAATAAATAAATGTTCGCTTCTATTGCTTATATTACTAGATGGTATGGTTTTGGCTTACTTACTTCTAAATAAACTAAAATAGCAAGTCATTGATAAAATGAAATAATACAATGCTACTGAATATACGATGTAAATAATTGAATCATTAACATTACATTGATCCCGCGTTGGAATCACCGCAGCGAACACTTTTTTGGCTAAAAATTCTGTGGCCTGTGCCTATTATTAGTAACATGTAAGCTGCTACTTTTTTACTTTTCATGGGGCAATATATTATGCTGTTTTTATTTTATTCGTGTTTTCGAATATGTTGCTTTTAGTTTTCACTCTACAGTAAATATTAAGGCTTGCAAAGATGAGGGTAAAAGTTAAAATGCGGATTGGCAACCGCAGCTATTATTATTTTGATCTGTTGTCAAGAAGATGATGCAGCCCATCCCATCTCCAGTTTGTTTTCCTATGTCGCCTCTTACGACGGGACGATATGAGGTGGTGGATTTTCTTTCACCGCCACAACAGGGCGAACATTTTTCTACTCCCGTTCATGAGTGCAGTGATCCTCACGTTCACTGTGAACAATATTTATAAGGAATAAAACTAATTTTAAGGATATTATCGCGTTTAATTTTAACTTTTTAAATTCCCGATGTTTTGGACACTTTACAGCACCCATGATCACGGGAGGGGCGGGAGAACTGAGGTGTTTGACGACCTGATGTCATAGTTAAAATAGAATAGAATAAATGCAGTAGTAGTTTGAATTTAATTTTATTAATTATGGGGTCCTTAGCAGATGGTAGCACTCAGCAATCTTCCCTATTAAAATTAGGATATTTTTAATTTCAATAGCCTCGCGAATCATCATTGGTAGGATTCGGTGTTCTATTCCAAGAATTTGTTGTTTATCAGGTCCGATATAATGGTTGGGACGATACTAAACATGTTGACATACTTTAGACTTCCTGGAGCTTCGGTGCTTCACATCAACGATATGTTATTTTACTCGGAACTTTCATCCAAGATGCGTAAAAAAACGCGTAACGTTAGTTTTAATTCATGTGTAGTATTCATTATTATAGAACTGTATTTATGAAATTTTCAAGTCTACTCGAAGTAAAAAAAAAATATCTACATCTTTTTTATGGTGTCAATCAATATTAAATAGGAACAATGATATGAATAAGATGTCTCAAATAAACATTATAATACTTTGTTAAAACTAAATTAACTTTAACTATAAATAAATGTAAAGAGTAAAATGTAAATAATAATAATACATTTTGACTTCAGGACTATTTACCTTTCTTATGGATACATCGGAATCGGAAACACGCCCGTTATAAAAAATAGTAGGAGTTTCTAGACATATATATTCACGTGTTTCTGTAGCATTTTACTAATCATCTACGTCTAATAGTATTTTAGAATGAAAAAAATCTTTGACAGACATAGAGACATAGCCACCGAGGTAACTCTAAAAGTGATCGAATTTTTCTAAATTTGGCACGGAACAGCATTTAATGATGTTCCTAAATTCAAGCGCACGCGAGCGAAGCCGCGGGTAAAAAGCTAGCATTATAATATAAATATAATATGTAGGTATATAAAATACTTAACATAGTGTGCGGTAAATAATAGATAACCCGGTAGTACATATACAGACAGGGGCGCCAGGTTCTTTCATAAACAATAATGCAGGGAAATATTGGAGACACTTGACTTTAAATAATTTCTGAATAAAATCTGAATTTGACACCCTTGGTGACAAAATGGGTATTACGACTTTTATTTGAAAAATAATCAATTAAGTATTTATTTCTTAAAAATGTTTACGAATGTTGAGACTTGCTAGACGCGCATTGTAGTTGACCAAATATATGACCAAATGTTGGCATATTATTACTCAAAATCTTAAAAAATATTTTGCTTATCGTAATTTTTATATTTTATTACAATTGGTGTTCAAACTTCAAACGCCTACTCTAACTTTTGCTAGCGTACCTACAATAAAAAAAACATGCGTGAGTGTCGTGGAACACTCGACTGGAACAAAGTTGTTTTCGTAGTCCTATATTATTATTTTTTTTATAGAATAGGGGGCAAACGAGCATGCGGCTCACCTGATGGTGACTACCGCCGCCCATGAACAACCGCAACACCAGGGGAATTGCAGATGCGTTGCCGGCCTTTTAGAAAGGTGTAAGCTCTTTTCTTGAAGGTTCCTAAGTCGTATCGGTTCGGAAAATTCGCTGGTGGTAATTGATTCCACAAAGAAGTTGTGCGAGGGAGAAAACTTCTTCTAAATCGCATAGTGGTGGACCGCCAATCATCCAGATGGTATGGATGGTAACGCAAGTTTTGTCGCGACGTGCGATGGTGAAATTGAGCGGCTGGAATTAGTCCGAAC